TCGGATGCAATTAATATATCCGAAAGATAGGAAGGTGTTTGATGTGTGTTTTCTCGCACTTAAAATAGTTGTAGAAAAGTGGTGTAAAGTACGAGTATCGTCTCCACAGGGACGGACAAAAGGGAAATAAAGATTAACTAAACTTTAGCGATTAAAAAAGAAATAAAAATAAATAAATGCAAGTGTGCGAGATTGATTGGTTGAATTAAAATTAAAACTAATGCTAATGAACGATAAAAATAAAAGATTGGTTTCTTCTCAATTAACGACGAAGGGAACAGGGATTGATTCCGGGGTAACCAGATTTCTGGCAGATCAGGCCTAATTACACGAATTTAATTTAATTGAGCCCAGCTAATCATTACTAAGTTCTTACCGCTCTCGCGGCGTAGAGTACAATAATTTAGGGGTCCAGGCTGATCTCTCATGCGACAAGATCCTAAATTATTGCCAAGACGAGCGAGCTTACGGCCCCTTAATCGCTACTAATCTCTTAGCGAACGATTAAGTGTGTGTGAATGTGTCCTAGAACAAATTAGATCTTTCTTAATTCATTCTACATGCAATTGTAATTCTAGCTGCAGTCTAGGTTACAAGAGATATCAATTAAATTATTCAAACACAAATTAAACGGCATTCATGCAATTAAACCGACAAGAATCTAGCCATCAATCATGATTAACCCCTTCATCAACCCCAAATCCCTAATTAAACTACTCACAATTCATAATTGAAGAATCAACAGAATTGGGATGAATAGAAATAATTGTCATTAATTAAAAAGATGAACTTACAAATAATCCCAGGGTTTTAGAGTAAACAATCGTAAAAACGCAAGTAAATTCGTCCCTAGGCCTCTCCGTAATGTTCGTAACCCCCAAAACGGGGTTATGGAGGCCTTATTTATAGAAAACAACGAATTCGGGTCGAATTAGGATCAATCGCGGCCAGGCACGGTGACAGGCACGACCGTGCCTGCGACCGTGCCTACGGAAGGAATCCGTTTTTTCGCGTCCAGGCACGGCGTGCCTAGCTGCCAGGCACGACCGTGCCTGGCCTCCAGTAGCTCGCAGGATAATTTCGCATCAGGCACGGCGTGCCTATCTGCCAGGCACGGCGTGCCTGACCCTATTCTTCACTTTTCCTTCGTTTTCTTGCTCCGAATGCTCCCGGATGCCTACGAGGTCGATCCAACTGCTCTTTCTTCACCAGAATTTCGTCGCGAATCTCCCGGTGGCCTCCAAATCTTCCAAATCTTTCTCGAATGCCTTCAAATCCTTCCCGAATGCCTCTCAAGCGCCGATTACCGGACTCTAACTTCTTCAAATCAACTCCAAATGCAATGAAACTCGATCCAACGCCTGCTAAACACAACTTGAGCCAAAATTGAGATTTGCAACGCCTTAAAGCCAGGAAATCATCAAAGTCCGACCCGGACACGCATCAAATGCGTGTCTAAATACGGACTTATCAGACTCCCCCACACTTAAGCTTTTGCTTGTCCTCAAGCAAATCGAACAACGGGACTTACGAAAATCACCACACGGAATTTAAAATAGTTAGCATACACACGTAGTTAGAGGGATATTTACAGGACAGACAATTTAAACCAAGAAAATTCTTCCCTAAACTACACCTTTGTACTCAAGCTAAACTATTTGACACAATTATTCACAACACCCTCAAAGTAATGACAGCATACACAAATAAGCTAGCTACTGATCAGAAGGACTTGTGAATGTGATGGTGAATGGTTAATAATAATAGTCCCTTTATTTTGAGAGATAGGAATATTCTAACAAAAACTTAATGCATTCAGGAACTTCAGGGCTATTCTTAGGAACAAGGAACTCAGTAGGACACAGTTTAGGAACAATCATTTAAACCTATGCAAAGAGTATACATGGTGTACAACTAAGCTAAACCGTCTTGGCCCATTTGTGCTTTGACGTATACTTGAAGTACGCGGAGGATTAAAGCTAAATTTCGAGATAGCCTCCAAGTTCATTAATTTAAGTTTAGTTTTCCTTGTCATGTTGGCACGAGAACGCCGTTTCTTTCGAAAGATACCCAAGTCTCATCTTACGCTTTTTGACCGGGGCTCCCATTCTCTTTTTCGCAAAGTAAGAGGTCTAGCTATATTAATTTTTCACCTTTCGGATTCTCACTAGACATTACCCCATTCTAATCTCGGCCTCACCAAGGAAAAATAGCAATTAAAGTTCATTAATTTCAAAGTGAATCCATGCCTACAATGCAATCCTCGAAAGTATCAAATTCCTAAAAAGTGACTGCTCTTACCCCATTTGGGCATAGGAACAGTGCCAAAAATGGCGCCTACAAAAATTCCCTAAACTTATCAAATTAATCCCTTAATTCCCTAAACATCAAGACTAAGTTAGAAATATTCACGGGTAAGGAAACAGGCCATTTGGCTATGGAGCTTAATTAATTGGGTAACAAAGAATGGTCAGGCTCAAAATGGCTTCTCCTAAAGGGTCTTATTCAGGTAGGGTGGATGATTAATGGATTAATTCAATGGGTAACTAATGCCTTCATCCTTTCAACAACTAGATTATAGTGCAAGCAATTTAAGCCTAAACACTTCAAAGATGTTCTAAAAACATAGTCAAAACGCTAGCCAGATCACAAAGACACAGTTTAAAGAAGAATTTTCAAAAATTTTGCATGAATTTCCTATGAATATACAACCAACACCTGCGCATGCTAACTCTAACAAATCACATGTGACAACTACTGCCCGGATGCCCAATTCACTTTGACTCCCCCACACTTGAACTTTGGCATCGCCCTCGATGACCAAATATGCATTATGTACTAGGGGTAAAGAGGAAAGGGTCACGCGTGCTCAAGATCAACTCAAGTTAACATTACGCATCGAAAAAATAGAATCATGGAAACTTCCCTATGGCGCTGGTCGATGCAAAACTAAACTGAGGCAATGTAATCCTCAACACATCATCCATACCACAAGACCCTGAGCTGCAACAAAAACACAAAGAAAAACAACCAAACAACAAACAAAGCAAAAGCAAAAGTAGAAATAAGCTCGGGTTGCCTCCCAAGAAGCGCTATTTTTAACGTCGTTTGCCCGACGCAACCACCTCATCAAAAACTCAATCAAAGACACTCCCACTCAGAAAATTAGTCTTCCACAAAATCAAACCTCCTATCAACAAATGCCCTGAGATGGCGTAAGACCTTAAATTCATGAAAACAAATACACATCTCAGGGTCACCCGTAAAGCAAAAGAATGGATCGTGGCCTTTATCAGGCCCTTTAGCAAAGAATGGGTCAAAGAATGGACAAATCCCTTTCATGTCAAAAATTTTCCGGGCTAGAACTTCCCCTTGTTCACTAAGTAAATTAAAACATGCTGATTTTTGAGATGCCTCAAGCCCGGATGCAAGAAGAATATGGAGGTCTGGATTATTATCAATAAAATCATACTCAAGGTGGAATGGAAGAGAGTTTAGATTTAATGGAGAAGGACTAACGAAAAAGGAATCGGGCTGAAAATTTTTCTTCTCCACCTTATCTAAATCATCTTCCGTTCCCTGCACAGAACTAGCATCACTTGAGTCCTCCTCTCCACTTATCATAAGACAGTCAAAACTAGGGAGGGGCTCAAGATCCTTTGCTGACTCACTATCCTCAAACAAAAGGTCAGAAAGGGCTTCATTGGAAAGCATGTTCGGGGTGCAATCCTCCACCAGTGAATCTATGTTATCCAAATAAAAACACTCTCCACTATCCTGACAGGGCCTCTTCATTATTTTGGACATATCAAGGTGGCAGTCTCATCCCCAACGCGGAGGACAAGCTTACCATCTCCAACATCAATAAGTGCTCGGGCAGTTGCCAAGAATGGTCTGCCTAAAATCAATGGTACCTCTCGATCCTGATCCATGTCCAAAATAACGAAGTCCACGGGAATAATAAACTTGTCCACTTTAACCAACACGTCCTCAACAATCCCTTGGGGATATTTAACTGAACGATCAGCCAACTGAATGCACATACGTGTAGGTTTAAGTGGACCGAGTGCAAGCTTTTCGTACAAAGTAAATGGCATCAAATTAATGCTTGCACCCAAATCAGCTAAGGCCCTATCAAAAGAAAGATCTCCTATTAAGCAGGGTATAGTAAAAGAACCTGGATCCTTAAGCTTCTCTGGTAGATCCCTCCTAATCACAGCTGAGCAGTCCACGTTAAGCCTCACAGTGGACGCTTCTTCCAGCTTCCTCTTGTTTGTAAGCAGATCCTTCATGAACTTCGCGTACTTTGGCATTTGTGCTAGTGCATCCACGAATGGTATGTTAAGCTGGATTTGTTTCATGAGTTTCAGAAAATGACTAAACTGGTCACTATCATTCTTCCTTGTCAATCGTGCCGGATAGGGGAGAGGTGGGGTGTAATTCTTGACCGGAACGGGCTGTTTTGGTGCAGCCGCCCCCACTCTTCCCTCTTCTTTCTCCTTTTCTTCTTCCCGGGCAGCCGGTTCAATTTCAACTTCATCGGGCTTCTTTGTTGTGGCAGCAGGTTCCAGCTCTCTTCCACTCCTCAAGGTGATTGCCTGGACATGTTCTCTTGGGTTTGGCTCGGTGTTACTAGGGAGGGATCCCTGAGGCCTCTCATATACGGCTTTTGCAAGTTGCCCTATTTGATTTTCTATGTTTTGCATCCTTGCATTTGCTTGTTGATTATTTACCTCAGAAGCTTGTATGAAACGTTTGAGGGTTTCCTCCAAGCTAGCAAACTTTTGGTCAGTCTCTCTCATAAAATTTTCTTGCCCCGGCTGGGGTGCTTGCTGCTGGCCTTGAGGTGCTTGGGGCTGATTAAAGCTCCTAGATTGCTGCTGCTGCTGATTTCCGTGCCCGTAATTCCCCTGTGGCTGCTGTCCGTAGGGCTGATTGTAGTAACCCTGCCGCTGATAATACATTGCATCAACTTGCTCTACTCCAGGGGCTGCCGAGTGTGCCAACATAGTGCATTCATGTGGCGAATGGAGTCCCCCACACATAGTACAAGAGGGACTAATAGGAACGGGGGCTACCATATTAACACTGGGCACCGAGAGAGCAAGATTTGTCTTCTTTTGATTATCCTCCACAATGGTAGCAAGCTTCTGAATCATGCTGGTCAAAGTATCTACCCTCGCAGAAAGGGCAGAATTATCATTGATCTCGTACAAGCCCGGGGCCTTCTGATGAGGTGTGTCCCGAGAGCCATACCATGAAGCATTATTAGAAACTATCTTCTCCACTAGTTCTTCTGCCACCTCAGATGGCAACTGAGGAAAAGCTCCTCCACCCGAAGCATCAAGCATCATCTTCCCTTCATTGTTGATTCCGCTGTAGAAACAAGATAGAATCTCACTATCAGTCATCTTGCCTTGAGGGCAAGCTCTTCTTAGCACTTTGAATCTCTTCCATGCCTCAGCCAATGTCTCTAAAAAACCTTGCTTGAAATCCTGCAGCTGCCTCTTCAACTTTATTGCCTTTGATGTCGGAAAATACTCCTTGATGAAGGACTTGTGCAACTGATCCCATGTCTGAATATGGTGATGTGGATTGCTATCCAACCACCTCTGCGCATCGTCCCTCAATGAGAAAGGGAACAATAGCATCCGTACCTGATCATCATCTAGCCCGGGGATCTTAAAAGTTTGGCACATCCTCAAGAATTTTGTAATGTGTGCCACTGGATCTTCTGTAGGGCTCCCTCCAAACTGATTATTGGACACCATGTTGATCACCGCTGGGTTGATCTCATAGCGAGGTGCAGTAATTCCTTGCACTTGAATGCTGTCGTACTCTGTGATGTCCGGCGTGAGGAAATCTGCAATGGTCTCTCCTTGATAAAGCGGGTTGTTGTGTGGGACATAGTTTTGGAATGGAGGAGCCTGCTGTCTGGGCTGATAAACTGGCGGTGGTCTAATGGGTTGTTGATGGATTATGTTTGGCTGTGGTTGGGGCTGAACTTGGGGCTGGTGGTATTGCTGATATTGATTCTGGAAGGGTTGATTTTGTGGTTGGGTAAGGGGTGGATTTTGAGTGATTGGTGGGTTCTGTCTGGTTTGAAAGACTGGAATGTTTTGCCCAATACCTTGCATCCCAAAGGTTTGGTTTTGAAAAGTGGTTTCGGGGGCAATAGAAGTGTTTTGGAAGAGCTGATAGAGTGGTGGAAGATTTAGTTGTGGAGTGGACTGATTTTGGGGGAAGAATGGGGTACGGAGATTTTGATACCCCGGATAAGCTCTAGGTGAATTTTCTTGTGAAGACTGGGGAGAGGTATTGACATAAAAATCAAGGTTACCAGAAGTGGTTTGGACCTCAGACGTCCCAGCGATTCCAGATGATGTAGTTTCCATGGTTGCATTCTTCTCAAGAAAAACCTTGCGGTTCTGTCTAGCAAACTTCTCAATCTCAGGATTAAGAGGGACAAGTGATTCTCCCTTCTTTGAACGTGTATGCATAAACAGATCTGACCTGCAAGGTTAGCAGACAAAAAAAATCCTACGAAAAACTAAAAACAAGTCGCTAAAATTAATTAACCCTTAAATCCGACACCGTCCCCGGCAACGGCGCCAAAAACTGATGTGTGTTTTCTCGCACTTAAAATAGTTGTAGAAAAGTGGTGTAAAGTACGAGTATCGTCTCCACAGGGACGGACAAAAGGGAAATAAAGATTAACTAAACTTTAGCGATTAAAAAAGAAATATAAATAAATAAATGCAAGTGTGCGAGATTGATTGGTTGAATTAAAATTAAAACTAATGCTAATGAACGATAAAAATAAAAGATTGGTTTCTTCTCAATTAACGACGAAGGGAACAGGGATTGATTCCGGGGTAACCAGATTTCTGGCAGATCAGGCCTAATTACACGAATTTAATTTAATTGAGCCTAGCTAATCATTACTAAGTTCTTACCGCTCTCGCGGCGTAGAGTACAATAATTTAGGGGTCCAGGCTGATCTCTCATGCGACAAGATCCTAAATTATTGCCAAGACGAGCGAGCTTACGGCCCCTTAATCGCTACTAATCTCTTAGCGAACGATTAAGTGTGTGTGAATGTGTCCTAGAACAAATTAGATCTTTCTTAATTCATTCTACATGCAATTGTAATTCTAGCTGCAGTCTAGGTTACAAGAGATATCAATTAAATTATTCAAACACAAATTAAACGGCATTCATGCAATTAAACCGACAAGAATCTAGCCATCAATCATGATTAACCCCTTCATCAACCCCAAATCCCTAATTAAACTACTCACAATTCATAATTGAAGAATCAACAGAATTGGGATGAATAGAAATAATTGTCATTAATTAAAAAGATGAACTTACAAATAATCCCAGGGTTTTAGAGTAAACAATCGTAAAAACGCAAGTAAATTCGTCCCTAGGCCTCTCCGTAATGTTCGTAACCCCCAAAACGGGGTTATGGAGGCCTTATTTATAGAAAACAACGAATTCGGGTCGAATTAGGATCAATCGCGGCCAGGCACGGTGACAGGCACGACCGTGCCTGCGACCGTGCCTACGGAAGGAATCCGTTTTTTTCGCGTCCAGGCACGGCGTGCCTAGCTGCCAGGCACGACCGTGCCTGGCCTCCAGTAGCTCGTTTCCTTGAAATATGCCAGGCACGGCGTGCCTAGCTGCCAGGCACGACCGTGCCTGGCCTCCAGTAGCTCGCAGGATAATTTCGCATCAGGCACGGCGTGCCTATCTGCCAGGCACGGCGTGCCTGACCCTATTCTTCACTTTTCCTTCATTTTCTTGCTCCGAATGCTCCCGGATGCCTACGAGGTCGATCCAACTGCTCTTTCTTCACCAGAATTTCGTCGCGAATCTCCCGGTGGCCTCCAAATCTTCCAAATCTTTCTCGAATGCCTTCAAATCCTTCCCGAATGCCTCTCAAGCGCCGATTACCGGACTCTAACTTCTTCAAATCAACTCCAAATGCAATGAAACTCGATCCAACGCCTGCTAAACACAACTTGAGCCAAAATTGAGATTTGCAACGCCTTAAAGCCAGGAAATCATCAAAGTCCGACCCGGACACGCATCAAATGCGTGTCTAAATACGGACTTATCAGTGTTGAGGGCCAATAGTTGCGGTGTTGAACACAATTAATGGAAACAGCTAGTCCATTTAAGATTTATTTCACATGGCCAAACATATACTAACAATATTGTCAAGAAACAATTTTTTTGACAAGGTATAACAAAAAATAATTTAAATACCACAAATTTTGAAGGGGTGTGAGGTAAAATCTCAAACTAGCATGTGTAATTTAAATACCCTAAGTTTTACATAAAAAAGTTTTTTAGCACCATGGTCATATATTAATTTAAAATTTACGGGCATATATTTTATGGTGAAAATTATATGTTCGTGGTACTAACATAACTTTTTATATAAAGTTCAGGATATTGAAATTACATACACAAGTTTGGGTTTTACCTCTCACGCATTCAAAGTCTGAGGTATTTTAATTATTTTTCCCCAAAGAATAAATATGTGGTATATGCAATTTTTAAGCAATTTTAATATTTTGATATTGTTTATAAGTTTATAAACTCCGCCATGAGATCATTTTTCTGGTATCATGCCTATCCCAAGCCAGGATAAAGGAGGAGAGTGTTGTGGTAGGCGCGTGACAGCCCACAGTATTACTTGGTCACATCACATGACATGAATCGAAATATGAATATCGCTACAGCTAGGTCGTCGCCCGTAAGCGACGCGTCATCCCTCCGCCTGGGGTTGGTGTCAAATACGCAAGGGCGCGATACACTTTATAGGCCTGGGTGTGGTGATAAGAATGTTAAGGTTGCTAGGCCGTCGCCCGGAAGTGACGCGCCACTCCAATGCCTGGGGACGGTGTCAAATATGCAAGGGCGCGGTGGGAGTCGATGTGGTGTGAAGAAGAAAAGACAGGGTGCTAGATTGCGTTTTGGGACATGGAATGTTGGCTCGCTTACGGGAAGATCATCTGAGATAGCTGAGGTTATGAAAAGGAGGAATGTCAACATAATGTGCATGCAAGAAACTAAGTGGGTTGGAGAAAAGACATGTGAGATTAATCCCGGAGGTTTTAAGTTGTGGTATTTGGGAGAGAAAGGAACAGAAATGGAGTAGGCATTATGGTGGTACAGGATTATGTCGAGGGAGTGGTGGAAGTCTTCAGGAAGAACGACCGCATCATGGGCATTAAGTTGATAATAGGAGATGAGATCGTGTCAGTGGTAAGTGCCTATGCACCACAAGTGGGATTGGATGCATCTATCACTCAACAATTTTGGGAGGATCTTGAGGAGGTGGTGCGACGAGTGCCAAGGGGAGAGAAGTTGGCCATAGGAGGCGACCTCAATGGGCATGTGGGCCCGAGTCGTGATGGTTTTGAGAGTATCCATGGCGGACATGGTTTTGGCACTAGAGAAGAGAGGGAGGGGAAGACCCAAACAGACGTGGGTTAGGGCAGTCTGAAGTGATATGCTTCTTCTTGAGTTGGATGAAGGTATGACTTTGGAGAGAACAAAGTGGAGGGCGAGCATTCGTGTGGATGAGTGGTCTCGTATTATTATTATTATTATTATTATTATTATTATTATTATTATTATTATTATTATTATTATAAAGAGCAATCTTTTTGTTGACGGCCGTATGTATATAAAAAGAAGCGGTTTTAATTTGTTTATTCTTTTGTTTTTTTCATTTTTTTTACTCCAGGGAGATCTGGGGGAGAGGGGCTGGAGTAATCAGGGCTGAAACTCGGCCCATTGAGTTTCAAACCCTTATGTGCCTAAAGGGTTTGTTGAAAATATTAAGAGTATTTCAAATGAATAAAATTTTACTTGTTTTGATATCATTTTTATCAAATCAATTTTGTCATTTCTGATATTTAATTAATCATTTAATAGATTAAAACCTATTACCGGTTGAGCATAAAAAGGATTGTAACCGCAGGTTACTAACCCAAACGTTTCAAATTTAATATCCAAATGTGAATCTTCTTTTAGTAAAAGCAATTATAACATTTATTAATTAAATTTAATATGGCCGAACAGTTTTTCACCTGGCAGCAAAGCAACGTTCTTTTTCTTCTTTGGTTCATTTCTTTTGTTGGTATATATGTATATATATATATATTTATATATATATATATATATATATATATACATGATTGTGTGGAGCAAGAGAGATAGAGATTTCTTTGGTCTTAATATACTGCTGGAAAGTTACAAATGATTAGCGATCATACACACACTAAAAGCTAGTGTATAGTTGCCTTGCTCCAATCTTTGAAGTAACCGAGAGTTAGCCTAATTTCTTCTATAAAACATACTCTGCTGGATTAATATTATTTTCTACTCTCGTTGTTCTGTTACCGGCTTACACCGAAGAGCTCGTTTTATCTTGGGGAAAGGTTTTCGCTAGTCG